CAACCCTCAGTGTTGCCCCCGTACCGGACAGGGGACCGGCAACGGGATCGTAACCCTCGGTGTTGCTCCCGCGCCTCGCTCAGCCAGTGAGTGGGAACCGGTCTGTATGTGGGATCCGAACCCTCGGGCGGGAGCGCTGCTGCGCTTCTCAAGCGGCGCACTATCCATTGCGCCACCGGGCCGGCCCCAGAATGCGGTAACATTTGAATCACCCCAGAGATTTTGCTGGAAGCTGAAAATGGGATGGGGGTGTGTGGTTGAGAGAGAAGCAGTGGAAATTTGTGTGATTGGAATGAAAGCATCAAAGTGTAGCATATCACTGAGGAACAGGAAGTAGTCTGGAGTGCCTGAAATATACTAGGTGGGTTGTAAGTGTGCCTCCTAGGTAAGCTGGTCCTGGAAGAATTGGTTATCTTTCCATAAAGCGTGTCTGGGCAGGATTGGAGCAAGAGGCTGTAATTTACAGGGTATGTTTGGGAAATGTATGTGGCAGGCCTGCAGGGGCGTATTGGCATAATTTCTGTAGTAGATCTGTACCAAATTATGGGGAAATTTTAATACCAAAGAAAGGACTTAGTTTATTCTGTAGTAGATCCATCAAATGCTTGCTTTTTAAAAATATGGATAGTGACTTGAGAACCAGGGCATTCAATTGGGTTTCTTTTCATGAGAAGGCTGAATTAGAGGGATAAGATGTGGGGGAGGGAGGGAGATCAGTAGGCTCTTGCCAGAGGAAATCAGGGGATAAGTCAGAAGGGAGCAAAGAAGCTGGGAAAGGAGGTGGGGAGGCTGTCTACCATCAGGGGTAGATTTTCTACAGGTGCATAAAGTCTAAGTGAGACAAGTGAATATTTTCCTATTCAAATAGTGCTAGAAAAAAAGATTCAGTAGATTCCCTAAAAGCAAGTTTATGAAGACAAAAGTCTTTCTACAGTTCTTATTTTCTTTCTTTATTATATCACATGAGAGGGTAAGGAGGGAGTGGCCTGTGTTGCTGACAGGGTGGCAAGCCCCCTTTTGGATTATATGCCAGCTAAAACTTCTTTTGGTCTCCATTTCTGTGATTTGTTTCTCAGTGAATGCATTTTAACCACTTTGGTGCCAGGGCTGATGATTTATGATATGGTGTTATGTGGTTTAGAGCAATCAGATTATAAGGAATTCTCAGTAGGTAGAGCTGACATCCATAATTGGATTTTCTCATCCTTGACATTTGAAATGAGAAATAAAAATCATTTTTTTGGGTTTACGTGCCTAAGACACTCCCAGTAGAGTGAGCTAAGAATAAATGCTGTTTTGGGTGCCCGGTAATCTTTTAATTATGAAATAAGCCTTTTGATTTTAATCTTCCAAAGTGTACGCTACTGATCCAGGAAAACAGCCTTTTTAAAGTTTATATCCTGCTGACTTCAGATGAAAAGCTTCCACCTTTACCCCCTATTTTGCAAGCTGAAAGTAAAAATATCATTAATCTTGCTTCAGTTCCACCACTGCCTATAAAAAACTGTTCAGTCTGGAGTCATCCTGATCCATGATGGAGGCTGTGGCCCAGAGTGAACGCCTGGGTTTCTGGAGCTGGGACCCGAAGCTGGAGGGCGCAAGGCCTCAGTCTAGGAGTGGATTAAGGAAATTATGCTTTCTTTAAATCACATCTTTTATCATCGCCTCTTCCCAGGCCTGTCCTCACCTCCCTCCACACATGTGTAACAAAACTTGGATAGTACTGATAAATTTTATCGTTTTTGTTCTTTTGTGGCATCTGAAACAGCTTGTACAATGACAACAGAAACCTGCTTCAAATTAGAGAGAAGGAAAGACGCAACCAGGAAGCTCACCAAGAGAAAGAGGCATTTCCTGAAAAGATTCCCCTTTTTGGAGAGCCCTACAAGGTATTTACTGTATATTAGATGAAAGTCTGGTTTATTACAATATCGGATTCTGATAAAATGACTCAATGTAATTGAGTTCAGACGAGTCACAACTGAATATGAGGTACCGTATCCTAGAGGTGGTTTTTGAAAACAAAATATGAAATGATCTGAACATTGTTAGTCAGAATTAACTAAAGTTTGTAGTTTTCTTTTGTAATGTTAGTTTCTTGTAATTAGTGATGTGTGTTCATGACAGGCTTCTCAACAGAGGAATTGGGTTAAAACTACACATTAAATTCTGTATGTTACATATTAAATTGAGGGTTTTTTCCTTAAAAATATTACGTAACATAGTTTATTAAATCATGGTTTTCCTTACTTTTTTTTTTTTTTAACTCAGTATCTAACTGTTGCTTTTTTTTTTTTTTAATTGAGGGTTTTTTCCTTAAAAATATTACGTAACATAGTTTATTAAATCATGGTTTTCCTTTCTTTTTTTTTTTTTTTAACTCAGTATCTAACTGTTGCTTTTTTTTTTTTTTCCAGACAGCGAAAGGTGATGAACTATCTAGTCGAATACAGAACATGTTGGGAAGCTATGAAGAAATGAAGGAGTTCCTTAATACCAAGTCTCACCCTCATTGCTTGGATGCTTCTGAAAATAGGTTGGGAAAACAGAAATATCCTTTATTTCCTGACAAGGGGAGCCGCATTCCATCCAACTCCTTCCACACTAGTGTCCACCACCAGCCCATTCACACTCCCGCCTCTGGACCACTTCCTGTTGGTAACATTAGCCACAATCCAAAGATGCCGCAGCCAAGAACAGAACCAATGTCAGGTCTCCACACCAAAAGCTGTGGCCCACCAGACAAACATCAGCTGACCCAAGATCGCCTTGGTCAGGAGGGGTGCAGCTCCAGTCATCACAAAAATGGTGACCACAGAGCTGTTGGAGACCACTGTGCTTCAATGACAGACTCGGCTCCAGAGAAGGAGCTTTCTCCCTTAATCTCCTCTTTGCCTTCCCCAGTACGCCCTTTGTCACCTATGCATTCCAGCCAGCAAACTCTTCCCAGGATGCAAGGAAGCAAGGTTCACAGCAGTAACAATAGCAATAAAGGCTCCTGCCCAGCCAAATCTCCCAAGGACCCAACAGTAAAGGTCCATGATACAGAGACCCCTCAGGACAGTTTGGCAGTTGCCAGCCTTGGGGTAGCTCCACCCCAGCCACCTTCTCAGACATTTCCTCCCCCCTCGCTCCCCTCAAAAAGTGTTGCAATGCAGCAGAAGCCCACAGCTTATGTCCGGCCCATGGATGGTCAAGATCAGGCTCCTAGTGAGTCTCCTGAACTGAAGCCAGTGCCAGAGGACTACCGACAACAGACCTTTGAAAAAACAGACTTGAAAGTGCCTGCCAAAGCCAAGCTCACCAAACTGAAGATGCCTTCTCAGTCAGTTGAGGTGAGTGGGTTTCCTATCTTGGGCAATTCCAGTTTGAAGACAGATTTTAGATGGATGTGGGGTTGGGGAGGTGAGTCTGGCTTTTGGGTAGGGGGATTTCTTTTTGGCTTGAGGATCTTAACCTATGAAAAGCTCAGGTCTGAGATGGATTACTGATGATAGTTATTGAAGTGCAATTTGAAGAAAGGTTTAAAACTTTTTATTGAGCCATAATTTACATACAGTAACATGTAGAGATTAAAAGAATACAGTTGTTTTGAAAAATGTATAGACCTGTAGAACCTGCAACCCAATCAAGATAAAGAATGATTCTATTACCAGAAAGTTTCAGGAAGGTTTTGAGCTGTCTTTTTCAGTTTTGGAGGACACTGGCTTTTTCAACAATGTGAAGAAAAAAATTTTTTTGATTGATACTTCAGCCCCAGTTAGTTTTTCCTGAGCTCTAAACCGTAAAAAAGTAAAAGCAAGAGATCACAGCAAAGTCTTTTATATATATTTTTTAAAGATTTGTTCCTTGTAAATTGTAAGAACTTTGAAACTAAGGTTCTCTTCTAATATTTTTTAATTTACCACCTAAAGTAGAAGAGTGGGTGTATGATGACATCTCATTTGAGAGTGAGTCACAAAAATAATACAGAATGTTATTCAACTATGGGTTTTAAAAGTAACCAAAATACTGCATTTTTTTTAACCAAGAAAAAATTCCTTTTCTACTCCGTAGATAAATGGCAGCATTTTGTTTGGGGAAAATCAGCATAAGTCCTATCACTGACATTTTAAAGTAGTATTAGTTTCTCCAAAAATAAGATTAGTAATGCAAAGTGAAATGTTTAAAGTGAATTTTAAAGCTTGTGGTAATGTAAAGTCTGTGGTTTAGTTACATCTATTGCATAAATATTCTAATTTGCATATCCATTGCTTAAAGAATTTGTGCCACCCAAATATCAATCTTACATAAGGTAAAATTCCTTAAGCTTTAAAAAAAAAAAAAAAAATTTTTTTTCCCCCCAGGATTCTGGAAAGATAACCCTTATCTTCCAGGGGGGGAAAAATCTCATTTGCAGTGTGTCAGCCTTTGGTTTGGAAGAGGGAGGTTGGGGTTCTACCCCAGGATGTCTTCAGTATGCGACTTGTTTGGGGGCTGAGGAAAAATAAGAAAGGTGGGGAATAAAACAAATGGTAGAAATGACCAAGGTTGCAGAGCTGCACCTCTGACTTCAATTATGAGATTACTGCAGTGGGCCATGTATTGAACATTTGTGCTGTGATGGAGGGAAGGGGTTGAATGAAGGAAGAATAAAGAGTAAAGTGGACATTCCTCTTCAGAACGGTCAGCCGACCTTATGATTCAGACAATAAAGAACTTTTTTTTTGTTTTTTGCTTTACTCTTATTTGTTAAATAGGGTCTGTTGTATGTTCCTAGTTTAAGAAAACCAGATAAGGGGATATTCTCCACTCCATTTTAAGATTTTCTTCTTTGAAGGCTGGGATCCTAAAATTATGGCATTCTAGGATTTAGTGAGCACATTTGTTTTCATGCTATGTCATAGCCCTATATATATATCCATGGAACATGTAGAGAGTACAGTATAGAGAGTAAAGGCAGGCACCAAATACCCCTCGGCTGAACTACCTATTTATAACAGCTGGTAAACAGTAAAAAAGCAATACCAAATAAAGTCCGAAGGTAAAAAAAAAGTAGCTGAATTTTATTTCCAAAAAAGAAACATGATCCTGGAAATACATTTAAGTGCTTTCACTCTCTTAGAACCTAAGCACGTATTATCGGTAAAAAAAAAAAAAAAAAAACAAAACTAAAAAAATTGCTTTAAAACAATTTTAAACACAGTAGCAAGTATTTGCATTGTCTGTCGAATGCTCAACCACATGCTTAAGTGCAAGATGAAATGCCAAAGGAATATTGGTCTCAGGGGCCTCAGGAGAGATTATAGCCTTGTGCAGAGATCAGCCTACACTCATGAAACAATTAGTTTGTACATACTCAGTCATTCTCTATCTGGTTAGTAGGTGCTTGGAGAAAGTTTCAAATGTCAGCCTTCAGACGGTGAACCTGTGTAAATTCAGCCAGTAGGTTTCCCAGTAGTTTCAGGGAGAGGATCCTCTTTAACTTAAGATTCTTGGGGTGGGGGGTGGGAAGGAGAGAAAATAAGCCAAATTGAGATTTCTCCAAGGTCTTAAAGTCTCTTGGGTTTAATATATATTTTAGACATAGAACTGTTCGGTGGCCATGGCATATTTTCAGATGAGTGACATTTGAGATGAACAAAATCCCCCATACATCTAATGAGAATGGGTTTTTCTCGGCACAAAAGCATCTGCTGTCAAAAACTGAGTGGATGTGAACTTTTCATCTGTGGCCTCCGTGGGCAGTTTTCCTTTTCATACGATGGTTTCCCCTGGTCTCTATGAGCTCTCATGTCAATGGCAACTGCGATGCCAACTGCCTGGGAGTCCCGTGGCGGTGTTGGTGGGGGTCAGGCAGATGGAGGGCTCTGGGTGACCTGTATTAGGGGGAATTAGAAGCCCAGATCTTGGAATAAAGAGGGAATCTGGGAAGCAGTGATGTTGGCTTTTTCTGGCTAGGTTTTAGATATGATTTAGCTCTTTGAATGAAAATCTCACATTTCATGGACTTAGCACTAATTTTCTGTTAACACACCCAACAAAATGGATATACATATATTTTTTTAAAAGATGACCGGTAAGGGGATCTTAACCCTTGACTTGGTGTTGTCAGCACCACGCTCAGCCAGTGAGCCAACCAGCCATCCCTATATGGGATCTAAACCCGGGGCCTTGGTGCTATCAGCACCGCACTCACCCGAGTGAGCCACAGGCCGGCCCCAAAATGGATATTTTAAAAATGTTCTCAAAAAGTGTAAATTGAATTTAAAATCCGAAATTTTAATATATTGGTGAACCCAGGAAAAGCATAAAGATGGGAGACCAAAAAAAGCAGGGAATTAACCTTAGAACAGGTGAACTTTGAATACAGAACCCTAATATTAGCAATATCCTGGGTTATTTTTGGAGGTGGGACAGAAGAGACAGTTGGCTGTTGGTAGAGCTGAGAGAAGGAGCAATTGGATGGAGCTAAGTGGTTTTCCTTCAGTTGCTTGATTGGTCTGAAGGTAAATCAGAGGAGATTCTCTTTTCCTGTCTCTGAGTGTGAGGATGGTTTTGGGTTTTGCAGTTTGTTTCATTTGCCACTCCCTCTACCCCCTCATGAAACAGTATTTTAAAACTGAATCCAAACAGGAAAGTAGCCGTGTCTTTTTTGGAGCTCCTTCATTCTCAAGCCACATAAGTGTGAATTCCTTACATTGCTCTCTATTCTTTCACCACACGGAAAGTACTTAGTTTTATATTTTAGTTGGTACTCAAACAAATTTTATGGCAATTGCTCAGAAACTTTAACTTTATAAGGCAATTTGGTTTTCTTGGGGAAAAAAATGACAGCAGAGCATAAACAAGATGTTTGGTATTTTTTTTTTTTTTTTTTTTTTTTTTTTTTTTTTTTTTTTTTTTTTTTTGTCTAAGGGATATGTCATTTTCACAGTTAAACCTTAGGTCTTTCCTAAGATCCTAAAGGAAAAAATTATCAAAAGGTCAATATTCTGACTAAAGAGAGGCCTGTACCACAAAAATCTGCACTTGGTTTTCTCTGGGAGTGTCAGTTTTAGTTTTTGTGTCAACTGGAAGATGTATAGCAGTGTGAAATGACCTCTCTGAGGGCAGGGCCAGGACTTGGTGATCTCATGTGGATGCCTTCCAGCTGCAGAGTTGCCACATCAGAGCTGGGCCTGCCCAATTGGAAGGATGAGATCTTTATATCTGTCTTTCTGTCTGAGAATAACAAATGAGAGAGAAACCATGGTATCTCTGTATGAGTGTTCATGAATGTGGACCTCAAAGCTGGGGGGTGCAAGGGGGATCGGGGGGGTAATGCCCAGACACAGGTTTTAGATACAGGATTTATGTAAAAGGCCTTTCATTGAAAAGGAGAAATGGAATAAACAGAGATGGGGGTATGAAATTGTACACTGAATTTAGAATATTAGAACTGTAAAGCATCACTTCTTGGCCTTTTGGCTAAGATCAAGTGTAGCACCTGTTCTTATCAGTTTAATATTTTAAAGCTAAACACAGCCATTTCATTTTGGAAATAAGGTCTACAAGGGTGAAATCACTTAATTTTGCTAAAAGTTATAGTTAATATCAGAGCCAGAGCTAGAATCCTAGTTGGCAGCATTAGTGGCAGCAGTGGTAATGGTGGTGAGATGTGTGTATTTTTGACCAGAGGAGTTGGACTTTGTCTTTTCCATCCTTTGTTTTCTTTTATTTACTCATTCATTAAATGGGTATTAACCCCCCACTGCGTGTCAGGCCCTGGTTGTATAGCTGAGATCAAGCTAGACAGGTCCGAGCTTTCATAGACCTTTTGTTCTAATGGAGACATTGATAATTGATATATAAACAAGAATTACAGGCTTTGATAAGAGTGCTGCAGGAAGTAAGGAGGTTGGTGAGACTGAGAAGAGCCGGAGGAGGCTGTTTTAAGAAGAGTGGTCAGCAGAGGGCCCTGTGGCTGAGACATGGAGGATGCAGAGTTAAAAGATGTGGTTCATTTCACTCAGAGGAAACCAGAAGTGCTGAGACTTGAATTTGGGAAAAGGAATGACCTTGTTAAGAGCAGAAACGAGGGGAGTATGGCTGGACTGCAGAGAGGGGGAGGATGTGAGATGGGATTGGAGGCATGGGCAGGAGTGAGACATGCAAGGCCATGTGGTCCAAGACATTTGGATGTCATTAAGTGCGCATGGAAACCACTGGAGGATTTTGAGCAGGGGAGTGATATAACTACTTTCTTTTTTGAAAATGATTACTCTGGTTCCTGGGGGGAGAAATGGGTTGGAGGGGTGAGGGTGGAAGTAGGGGGACTGGTTGGGAGGTGAGAAATGATGGTGTGGAGTTAGGG